CATCTTTTGTGTTATTTCATCATTTACATCCACACCCACACCCGCACCCAAAATCATCTGATAATACTTCAGCGTTTTCCTGCATTCATTTATGTCATGTACAGGATTTGAGACTATTACATCTCTAGATAATATATTATATACTTACTATAAATTCTCTTAAGATATCAATGGATGGAAAATGATGAAATAACACAAAAGATGATATCACACATGCTGCTTTGTTATATCTAATTGTTTGTTGTGAGATCACAGAACTTATAAACAAAAAACTAACATGATTTTTGTTTCTGAAAATACATATCTGACCCGACCCGAGGTCTGACCCAACCCGAGTCGAACACTGTTGAGGACCTAAAGGCACCCATGTAATACCCCCCCCCCCCCCAAAAACAAAAAATTGAACGCCACCCTATAATAGAAAGGCATCCGGAATAGAAGGCCACCCCGGACCGTTTGAATCGCTGGACATAATATAACGCCATACAAATTTCAAGGAAAAATGCGAAAAAAATTCCGACAAGACGTAATATAAAGCCACCAAAAAACGACCGATTGGCAGGGACATAATAGAAGACCATGCCTTTTTATTCTGGGGGAGGGGGCGGTTACAGGACTTGCGGACATAACGATACACCCCTAATGTAGGACATAAAGACGTAAAGGTACTTAAACAGGCTCCCCTCTCGGAATAGGTCAATATCAGTATAGGAAAAGGTGAATGAGACAAATCGGTCATCCTAGAATACCCGGATATAAAATTTGCGTGGCAAACCTTTTCTATAAACCCTTGAATTCCATTGCCTACTGTTCAACCGTAGGACTTAGGAGCACATACAGCTCAAATTTCACCTGTTCGGCTTTATTTAGCCTCAGAAAGTTGTTTTTCATAAAACATGATTTCTATTGGTCAATACTCAACCAATGGGGCTTCGAACCAACTTTCGTGCAGATTCAAGTTCTCCGCCCCAGAAAACCTTCAATTATCATCTCTATGGCCGAAAGATACAGCTGTAATTGGTTTTCAATTAGAGCGTGCACAAAAGCAGAACCGATTCTTCCCTATTTATCTTTGCGATGGCTGAGATAATCTTCCTGTTTCCTCATGTTTTATATATCATTCTGTAGCCCTGGAAATTCTCTATCCAATGGTATATAATAGTTGGGGTTTTAATTGACTATGATAGTAGAAGTCTTTTACGAAAGCGGCGTTGGGTCGATTTTTCCATAGGAAGCTTTAGGGAAAAAAATGGGTATTTTTGCAATAACTCAGGAAAGGCTCGGCCGACCCTTCTCATCTTCAAACCCGACCGAGATATTGCAAAGACTGAACGGTATAGAAAATTTCATCGTCATCGGACTCTCATTTCGAAAGTTATCGTGTAAACGGCCGGACATAGTGACTGATTCTAGAGTGTACTCAATTTTTGAGTACACAAAAAGCAATTCCGACGGCGGGAATGGAACCCGAGCCTTCTGCTGGAAAGGCAGAAATCCTAACCACTAGACCACGTCGGACTGTTGCTTATATTGTGTTATAATTCTAGTCCGCTCAATAGTCTCATGCAAATATCAGAATAATTCTTTAGTATGTTTAAAAAAAGCGATTCCGATGGCGGGAATCAAACCCGAGCCTTCTGCTGGAAAGGCAGAAATCCTAACCACTAGACCACGTCGGAATGTTGTTTATATTCTGTTATAATTCTAGTCCGCTCAATAGTCTCATGCAAATATCAGAATAATTCTTTGGTATGTTTAAAAAAAGCGATTCCGACGGCGGGAATCGAACCCGAGCCTTCTGCTGGAAAGGCAGAAATCCTAACCACTAGACCACGTCGGGTGTGGGTGTGGGTGTGGGTGGGGTGTGAGTGTGGGTGTGGGTATGAATGTTTATCTGTCGTACGGTTTTACCCACACCCACACCCCACAGCCACACCCACACCCTCACCGACACCCACACGCACACCCACACCTCACACCCACACCCACACCCACATTCTTCGTGTACCATATGAAAATACTTCGTATCTGTCGGTTAATGATTGTCGATTTTATTGTTTACTTGCTGTAGAAAGACATGTATCATCGAGTTTTGCAAAAACAGACTCAAGGAACAATATTTGTCTCTCGTTTTGGCGTTATGAAAAATCTATGCACGGGTGGACTTTGTTCAAAGCAGTGGAGAATTTTTTACAACCATTTAAAAAGAAATCGAGATACATTAGTCACCACGTTCTTCCTCGACTTGAGAGATTTCTAAAAAAACTTAGCGTGTTGATCACCTTATGTACTGTTTATATATATATTAAACCAAGAAGTGGTAAAAATAACGTGAGTAAAGTCGAATTTATCAAGTTCGCCAACACAGACACAAAACAACTCAGTTTCTTCGATCTTCATGGTGTCGAATTGTTACATAGACTTGAAGCATTGGAAGAAAAAAGTTCAGCTACCGGAGAAAGCTTTATCACTCTTCTAGATCATGAAAGGATGGTTAAAATGACATTCGCTGATTTGATATAAAGCGTATGCGCAGTGTAATTTAGCATTGAGCGCAGCACGATCAACTTCGTCGTGGCTCAACGGACTCTTCAGGTCATTTAAGACATTATAATTTTATTATAATTAAGCATAAAATGAAAACAGACCAACGTATATCTCTTTGAAATGAATCAATCGGCTAGTCTCAAATCTTGCTTTCCATTAATCGATCAAATAAAAATAAATTTTAATTCTAGATAAGATGCTTAAACTAAAATAATTGCTCAAAATAAAGTGCATAGTTAGTTTTGGCGACATATTTCATGCTACTTATTAGAATATTCAAACGCTCATCAGGGTTCTGCACTGAAGAATTAAAAGTAAAAACAGCAATCAAAAAGAAAATAAAAGAGAAAATATATTATAAAATATGATGCTAGTATATTGAAAAAAGTTTCCATTAGGTTTCTGTACAACGAAGTTCTGACTTATCACACTGTTTTCAAATCTCAATTTTCAAATGAAGCAAAGGAGCTGATTGTCTCATCTGATTATAAGAATTTAGTATATCTTGAGGATGCGGGTGTGGGTGATGTGTTGCAGTGGATATGCGGGAAATATGAACGCACACCCCACGCTTACACCCGCCACCTTGTGCGTCTTCTCTCGTCTCAAAATTCAGAATCTTTCTATCAAGTTTGTCACCGCTTTTTTGTTGTGTTTGAATGCCGAAAAAGAAATCTTCTTGTCTTTGCACAATATATTTAAAAATAAAACTATTTTATCATACTATCTCTTCGTCTGCTGAAAAAACGACATTATATTAAGACACGAAACAAACTGTTTGGTGAACTAGACATCATAAAAAATTGACCTTCTGCAAGTTTGTAACATTCTCTTCCTTATGGTAAACCTCGAAAGAATCAACAAACTTGGTACTGATATCTGATTTTGAAAATGGTTAGAAATTTTTTCAGAAATGCGTTGTTTACGAAATCGACCTCAGTTTCAATTAGCGGTGAAACACGCAGTTGAATGATGAACAAGATTAAATCCGATAAATATATTTGAGACACAGATTGGATACCAATTTTTTCTATTACTCAGAACTCTTTATGACGAGGAAAGCTAATCATATGAATATACCAATCATCACATAGCCGGGCGGTGAGTGTGGATTCGGGGCACTGTATATGTTGTCGAATCTTCATAGGTTTTTGATATAGCTCTCCGATTTCTAAACGACAGTGAATACTCTCTCCATAGAGGTGTTTTATCTTGTTGTTTGATTTAAGGAAGGCCTTCATATTTTTTTAATTATTTATATTTTATTTAATTTTCAAATGTTTTCTTTCTTGTCTTTATCTTATTTTGATGCTTATAAACATCACCCATGGAATAAAAAAATGAAAAAAATGGCATTTATGATGATGAAACGGACATTTTCTTTGATGTTTTTTGATTTCATCGATGAAAATGAATATTTTCATCAAAATAATGCCATGACTTTGAAAAAAAATCAAATTCACGCAATGTCACCGATGAAAATAAACATTTTCATCGATGAAATTGAAAAACATGAACGAAAATGTCCGTTTCATCATCAGAAATGCCATTTTTTTCATACTTTTGATGTAAAATTCATGAAAGTCATGGCATTTTTTTCATTTTTTTATTCTCTCGGCAATATATACATTCACAAGTACACGTATCTTTTCTTTTCTTTTTAATATAGGTTTCAAATATGATAGTAGGATATCCAAGTGAACAAAACAAAACGGAAGACGTCCAACATGACTAGTCCAGAATGTCCACAACACACGTCAAGTATAATCGGAAACGTCTTGTACATCTGCCAAGACTAGTCACCATTTGGAGAAATGTTCTTCGAACACATCTGGACCAGTCTAGAATGTCCTTGAACCCAGTCATGCCTAGTCCATTTTCTTCGTCGACTCTGTCAGACTAGTCAGAGGACTAAAAGAAGAAAATGTTAGGTGGATTCGAACCAAGGGGAAAACTGTTGGCACCCAGCACCCTGGCACCTCAGCACCTGCTCAGTACCTTGGCACCTGATCAGCACCTTTTCAGCACCTCAGCACCTGCTCAGCACTTGTGGGTGCTGTGAAGCTTAGAAAGTTAGAACATAAACTAGAGGCCCCTGTGAAGAGCTGTACTTTGATATTATAGGAGAAAGCGATTTAATAAGAAATTTCGATTAGTATATTTCATTTATCAGATAAAAAGAAAATTATTGAAATTATGAACTCATAAAAACAAACATACAGAAATCACGAAAAAATTTCCTGATAAACAACATTATCTGTTACAGTTTGCCCATCATCTGTTTTGCCTTGTCTAGTGGTATCTTTTACTTGAATTTTTAAACCATTAGATTCCATTGCTCGTGAACATCCTGTATAAAACTGACCGTGAGAAAAGCATGGTTCTGAAAGATACAGTCCAACTTTATCAAAAGTTTGCCCTTGAGACTTATTTATTGTCATCGCATATGCAAGTCAAACTAGAAACTGGTGTCTAACAAAATTGAATGGAAGTGCTGGATCATTCGATGTATCCAAAGAAATTCTAGGAATGAAATGAACAGTTCCAGAAAATGCCCCAGTAATAATTTCCAATTGAAGTACATTCTGGCGAAACGCTCTAACAATCATTCTAGTTCCATTGCATAGTCCTTTATCTACCGACAGATTTCTCAAAAGCATTACTATACAACCAATTTTTACATTTAATTTATATGGTGGTAATCCAGATGGATTCAAAGTATTTAAAAATTCTACCGGAATATTGACTTGTAAATCATCATTTTCTACACCGTCATCATTTTTTACCGAGTCAATCGCGTAAAAACTCATTTGTTCAACATTTTGTAAATTCATCAAAACGCGTTCATTTATTAATCGAACATATTCGTTTCTTGGGCAAAGAATTGCACGTCTAGAAAATCTTTCAACATCAGTATAGGTAAAGTTATTATCAAACATATCCGTAAATATGTCATTAGATATTAAAGAAATTGGAATTTCTACTGAAAATTGGGTTTTAGATGCTGTTGGGAAAGGTATTACTCCATCAACGATATTTAAAAGCCATTTAGAAAAATTGGGGTCTCTGACGGCTCGCATATTGCGTTTTAATTTGAATGTTTGAAAAAGAGACCAAACAGAAGATTTTTTGATTGTGGAAGCAATAATGACACATCAAGATCCTTTTCTAATGACTGGCAGAACTTGCCGAAAGTCACTACCTAACACAACAACCTTTCCACCGAAAGGTATTTGGATACCCATCAAATCTTGAAATATTAAATCAACTATTTCTAAAGCTGTACCTGGAGCCATAGGAGCTTTATCCAAAATAGGCAAATCTATCGATTTCAAAAATTCTTTTTTTTTGGCTTGAGTTAGTCTAGGAAATTTTATAGTAGAAAAGTCTAACGGTAAACTGAAGGCAGAATGGCATGTGATTCCACATGGTAACAAAGTAGCAGCTATTCCTGTCCATGCAACGATTAATGCTTTTTTGCCAATGATATTAACTTTTTGAATCAGAGCACGATACACAAACGTTTTCCCGCTTCCACCTGGTCCGTCTAAGTAAAAATATTTCTGCGAATTCGAACCGACTACTGATTTTAAAATAGTATCCGCAGCTAGAAATTGTTCATTATTAAGATCATTCCATAGTAAATCATTACTGTCAACAATACAGTTAACTAAATTATCTTCACATTCTGGGATATCTTCGAAATTTGAAAACGGTAAAAATTGATTAAAATCGAAACCATTTTGTTGAATTTGCATTCGTATGTCATTAATGCGTAACGTAAGAGATTTTTCTACGCTATTTCCTTGTTGAATAAAATCTTCAGTCATATCTTCTTTGAAATCTTCGAAAAGTTGCAAAGGATTTGCAGGGTTGCAATGACAAATAATTGTAACTGGGTAATTCCATGGGAAATCTACCATAAAAACACAAAGTGTTTTGATTCTTTTGTTTTCTATCAGATTTTGTAGAGAATTTTTCGCTGATCATTTTAGTAAAAAAAAACTTCGAACTTGACCCATAAATAAGGACGTTATTGTCAAAATACTAAACAATGATTTTGTATGTTTAAAATAGCATGTTTTTCAGTATTTTAACCCTACGAAATTTTATTTTTCGGTCAACCCAAGAAAATTTTTTCATGAAAATGATCAGCATGAAAAGCTCTACAAGATGGACTACATTAATTGTTTTTTAAAGTCTATCTGCATGGTCTTTTCTATTGAAATTCTTGAAACAACGAGAGACAAAGTCGAACGTAAAATCGCAAAATGGCTATATTCTGAAGAGAGACGGCATATATGGTTTTGTAGAGCGAAGTTTGCTCTACAAAATCTTATATTTAGTTTTTCATTTAAAGTCGAAAAACTTGCGTAAATCTTGACAGAACGTTATGAATAGCATTTCTCATAAAGTTAGGGTCACCCATTTGATGGCGTTTTACATTTCATTTGTTTGACCCAATAATCATACTGAATAGCTATTTTACTAAAAGAATATGAGTAAGCAATGATGAAGCACATATTGATATCAAATGAATCTTAATGATAGTAAAGGTCTTTTCTATTGGACGGATTCGGTAGAATGACGCATCTTATTTCTTAAAATTTTTTACAAACGGAGTTGGTTCAATTTTATTGCATTTCTTGTTGATCATCTCTACATGATTGCAGAATGGTTCATGTAAATGAGGGTGTGGGTGTGAGTGTGTGTGGATGTGGGTATAGTTGTGGCACTTTTTTTGACAGACACCTCGTAACCACACCCACATCCACACCCACACACCAACACCCGCACCCACACCCACACCCACACCCATACCCACACCCACACCCACCCCACACCCACACCCACACCCACACCCAGCTTGTTGCAGAAAGTTATCTTTTCCTACAACAAAGATACCAAGCTAATGTCCTTCGATATAAATTTTACCTTGTGAAATTTTCTCAAATATCAACAAAGAAAATAATTTCGGACCAACTTCTTTCTAATTATTATTATCAAAATAAAAGCATGTATCATAGTCGGGCGTTGAGTGACTTCTCCCTCACAAATAAAGAGTTGTCGAAAATGAAGAGAATACTGTTATCCGAATTCACACACTCACACCCTATTCTTTCAAAACTTTGTTTGCCTTTCATCCGTTTTGAACTGTGCAGTGACTGAAGTGTTTTTGTGATCAATACCTTATTGTGTACATGTTGTTCTCTCTTTTTGCTTTTAGAGCTTTTTGAATAAAATTTTTCTTCTTGTCTTAAGAGAGGTATGTTCAGATTTCCGAAGGTTCCATCAACTCGATAATTACATAGGAAACCAAATGAAAATGTTTTGGGATCTTCTTTAATTTTGAAAATTTCGCTACTTAGAGATTTTTGGAAGTTTCAGAAATTTCTGAAATTATGTACTTTTAGGAGGTACGAAAAATTTAGAACACAAATAATTGAAATTTTCAAAATTCCCTTTTTCCAAAGTCTGAACACTGCTGGTTTTAATGTGTGATATTTTTCTCGTATCTCAATACATGATTGATCAATTAAATGATGGACGAAGTTTGTTTTCATTTATAGAAACAAAACAAAAAAAAATTTTGATTCATCAAACAACAGTTTCAATAGAAACTAAAATAATATTTTCTTATCTCAATTTGATTTTATTTACATAAGATGTATAAAAATTAATAATAATAATTAAAAAATATATTTATTTATTTATTTATTTTAGCAATAAAAGCAAATATTAATTTATGTTCATGTAATAAAAGTGATCCTTTTGATAATTATCAAAATAATAAAAGAAGATTTGAAAATGATGAGGATAATGGAGAAATTCTTACATCAAAAATAAAACCATTATCAATAGAACAGGTTGATTTTGTATTATTTTTAGAATTATTATTTAGTTAAATATTATTATTATAGAAAACTAATCAATCTCAAGTTCAAATTTCATCAGATCGTAGTTATATATACAGGGGTGTCCGGAAATTCATCTACCAAAAAGAAAATTAAATATCTCCATTACGGCTCGAGCAAACGTGCTGATTTTTTTATCAGTGATAGAGGCATGTACCAAGTTTATATCGATAAAGACATGTCCAAGTAGACCCTTTGTTAAGTATCACTATTGACCTCAACAAGAAAAATTCACTTTTCACAGTTAGAAAAAAACGGCACTTTACCGAAAAAAACTGAATATCTCCGCTACGGTTGGAGCTAACGCGCTGATTCTTTTATCAATGATAGAGCCTCGTTCAAGCTTTATATTCATAAAGACATGCTTAGAGATCCTTTTTTAAGTATACTACGTAGTTTTTCTTCTATCTGTGAAAAAGTGAAAATTTTCTTGTTGAGATCAGTAGTGATACTTAACAAACCGTCTCCCTACACATGTCTTTATGGATATAAAGCTTATATATGTCTCTATCACTAATAAAAAAATCAGCTTCTTTGCTCGAGTCGTAAGGGAGATATTCAATTCTTTTGTCGGATGCTTGACGTTTGGGCCAGATTCAGGGTAGCCCAAAGGTCAGTTTGCCAAAATAAAAATGTAATATCTCCATTACGGCTTGAATAAACGAGGTGATCTTTTTACCAATAATAGAGGCATGTTCAAGCTTCATATCAATACAGACATGCCTAGACAAATCCTCTGATAGGTATACTGCTTCTTTTTCTATCTCTGAAAAAGTAAATTTTTTTTCTTGAGGCCAATAGTAATACTTAACAAAGGATCTCCCTGGGCATGTGTTTATGAATATAAACTTTGTACATGCCTCTATCACTGGTAAAAAGATCAGCACGTTTGCTCGAGCCGTAATGGAGATGTTCAATTTTATTTTTGGTAGATGAATTTCCGGACACCCTGCATATATATAATAAATAATTATTTTTATTTAGAAATGAATATAAAAATTGACGATTATTTAAAAGAATTAAAACAAGCTATAGAAAAATATATTCGTAAAAATGATCCATCAGAATTGTTTCGTCGAATATGTAAATTATTATGCAATTCTGATGAAAATGGATTAGTATTACATGATGCTATAAAAAATGAACATATTAAATTGGTATTACCACTTATTGAACAAATTATTAACATGTGTTCAAGAAAAGATCTATTAGAAAAAGTAAATAAAGATGGTGAAACGCCATTATTAATGGCAGTGAAATTTAAACAATGGATATTAATTGAATCTATTATTAAAAAATCGAATTGATCTTATTTAACAAAAAGATAATAATGGAAATAATTTATTACATTTACTTGCAAATTTTAATCAAAATGATAATATTGAAATAATTAAAAATATATTTAAAATAATACCTAATCATATAAAAGAAATTCTGTTAAAAGAAAAAAACTTAACTTTTATTATATTTAAATCAATTTTCATATTTTTTCCTCTTTTTTTTTTATTAAATAAATTCATTTTAGAAGTTAATCTATTATTAATAGTACGTCTTTTTTCTGTCAATTAAACAAAAAAATTTTTTTTCTAAAACAATTTAATAAGAAATAGATTTGAAAAGAGACAAATAAGACTAAATTCATTTGAAATTCTTATTTTGTTCAATATCTTATTTAATGTCAAATATATACATGTATATATGTTGAATTTGATTAGATGAATTTATTTGATAATATCTAAAATTGTATAACAATGACAAGTTTTTTTTTTTTTTATTTTATTTTATTCTTTGATTATTTATTGTCAAATAGTCACGATGACTTATCTATTTAGAATAAGATTAATTTAATTAAAAGTTGACAAAAATCAATAAACGTTTTTCAAGTATATTCTCTTTTCTCTTCGAAATTTTTTTCTTATCTTATTTCATTTCATTATATAAAGAATTTGTCAACAAAAAAATTTAAAATATTTTCACAAAGATAAATTCAAATAAATTATTTTAGTTAATTCAATTTAAATTAAATAATATAACGGAATTTTTTGTTTTTATTTCTATTTAAACTTTTCGATATTTTTTAATGTAAAAAAAGTATTTTTCTTCAAAACGTTAGTTTTCATTTTTGATTAAGTCAACTTTCAATTTTTTAATAGTAGTAAGTAAATAGAAGAATAAAAAAAAATAAAGAAATTATAAGAGAATAAATTAAAATAAGGGATTATGAAAATCGATGAGATACTCGTATGAAGTTCATTGTCACAAATGTGGGTGTGGGTGTGAGTGTGGATCTTCTCTTCATGCGCACACACCCCCACACCTGCACCCATCATACCGTCACAGCAACACTCACACCCACTACGCAACCAGTCACACCCTCACCCACCACACAGCCACAGCCACAAACCCACACCCCACCTACACTCCTTAGTTGCTTCAGAAAATCATGAAAACGCCGAAATAATTGTCGTGAATCATTTCATGCATTCGCTGTTGCTACATTAAACAATGTTTGTTTGGTATCAACCTTAATATACACTTTCTTGGTGAGATGTTGTGAAACTTATCAGTCTGTTTCATAGATATTTGTAACAAAATTATGCGAATAGACGTTTTTCTGTTACTTTTTAGTGACACATAACAGAAACTACGTTGTGTAGAGTGTGGGTGTGAGATGGATGCGCTGAACCTAGTCGAGATGAACAATGATACCTGCGCCTGTATCCACCCTCCCAACATAAACTATCGTTAAGAATTTCAAAAACGATGCATACTAGCTCTAATCTGTATACTAATGATGATCACTCGATGACTTATTTTGCAAATGTTCGTAATATTATAGAGATAGCATTTCTAAGCATCGCTCTCGTTTGTTCTGTGAATATACTTCAAGTTTTCTTACTACCACTTCCTGCTAATTCAGTTTACCTGTAGTACTGTTTTTACCCTGAGTCTGTTTTCAACATGCAGTATTCGCTCAATCGAATAGAAAAATATTGATCATTTTTGCGGAATGAATCGATTATGTTTTGCATCTGATTGTATCCTAGAAAAATTTCTAATGCATACTTAATCGATGTTTTGATTATTCTGCATTTATGATAATATATAGACCTTGGACCATCTATTTCCATAAAGAAACAAGAAAAATAATGGTAATTGAATTTCAGTCTTCAATCTAAGCCTTCATGCTTCCATTCATACAGACCATATGTCAGGGTTGATTACAGTCATTACTTTCGTAGCTCACATAGTTACAACTGAAGTATAGCATCAACCAAATTATAATGGTAAGCTTTTCAGTCAGGATACACTGAATATTTTTCAAATAATAAAATGAATCGTGACCTGTTTTCTTTGAAATATTATCGAGAACGATGCGTTATAAATTCTGATCGCAATGTGAGATGATTTTTATTCGATATCTACCAAAGTTCAGCTATGAATAACATACAGCTTTTTTTTTATCTAGTATCTACATTTAATTTTGCGTCGTATCTTAGTTTCTACAGAAATCTTCGTTTAACATTTGAATCTCTTAGCTGATTTTAGCCAAGATTGTATGAAAATATTATCTTGCGCTTCCTGAAATATAAACAGTTATTTTTTGCAAGCCATCTTCTAGTACAGCTCCCTAAATATTCATTTCAATCATTGCTTTCCGAGAAGTTGGTCGACGATCCAATTGAAAACTACTTTTGAGTTTATCTGTATATACAGAAATATCATGATATGACTTCTTTCTTTAATTTGGACTGTTAGATCGAATGAAAATCTAACATAATATCGTACGACATTTTGTTGAATTCATTACACTTCAAAAGTGTACGTGTGGATGTAGGTGGGACCCTGAGATAGTCTTCAATTAATTCACACTCATATTCAAACTGGATCCACTAGATTCTCGGTATTGGCAATGATAATGATTTCTATGAAGTCTTCAGACATTAGCAACCATAGTCTCTGCAGACATATTTCCAGTCACTGTTATGATTGTGTATATTAAGTAAAAATTTTCTTGTTTCTGCTGTTTCTTTATATGGGCGTGGTCAACCGACATGCAGCCCCGACTTTTATTTATTTATATATCTTCAGCTACATATCAGAAAACGATGATTCTTTTTAATACTTATAGTACATATGTAATGCTAATGATCTGTTATTATTCGAGCCCTATATCTCAATATAAAGGAGAGTTGCCAAAAAGTTCCTTGTCATCATTTCATTATAAATAATTTGCATCAGATACATTAACATAAACTAGCATCTACTGAGAAACTTGAATCAATATGAAACATATCAATAGCAAGCTTGAGTATGTATTAATCAGAAAATACAACTCATTTTATTGTTTATTTACGAATAGGATGTTTCTCCAAGTTCATATTACATAGAGCAGAGACAACTAGTACGATCTTAGTTACTTCATGAAAATCATCAATAGCTCCTCTATAAACAGTATCCAAAATAGCATGAGTTTTGAGACGTTGATTGATATTTTCGATGGCTGCTCTTGCACTATTAATATCTCGATTGAAATTTTTCTCTGCATCTGTTAATCCACGTCCATGTGGTTTCTTTTTTAGAGTGACTACATAATCTTCACCAATATATCATTTATCAGCAATAACTTGTACAGAGTCGTTTACATTTTCTAAAAGATCTGACTATCTTAGAATTGTAATATCGTATACACTGTCTTTGTAACATTCAGACACATGCACTATTCGATGATGAAAATCACAAGCTATTTGTATTTTTGATGCATAGTTTGTTGAACTTTTTGCATGTTAGTATGCTTCACGTTGATCTGAATCATAAGGTTGGGGAGTCGCGATGAGGATTGAGTCAGCTATTAATTTATGATGTTCTTCAGGACCGTGCACTACTATTCTAGTAGTCACATTGGCAGGTAATGAAATTAAGTCGGAATATACACAGGAATGTAAAATATCGACGGCGGTCGACAAGAAATAATTCACTGTGGATCGACTAGGATCGAATTCTGTGGCAATTTAACGTTCGGAGTGATAATGCTTCGAGTACCATAATGCAACCACAAGCAAATTCATAGGAGATAAATATGATGTGGTCCCAGGCAAGCAAAAAAACGAGAGGACTGGCGACATGTCTAGTCCACAACTTCCATTACACTCGTCCTGACTAGTTGAAAATACTGAATGTGGCCGTCAGGACTAGTCAGTATTTGAAAAAGCGACATACTGACAGGACTGGACTAGTCTAATATTTCCAAAATACATGTCAGGACTAGTTTGAGATATTTTAGAGACTAGTCAAGTTTAGTCCTAAATACTTGGTGTCGACGTCAGGACTAGTCAGTGACTTACGAGGTAACATAATGATGAGATCAGACTAGTCTAATAATTTTGAAATGCAATCCTGAACTAGTCTAAGATACTCTGAGGAGTAGTCAAGTCTAGTTCCAAGTATTTACTTTCAACATCAAGACCCGTCAGTGTCTTATGAGATAATATAATGACGGGACTGGACTAGTCAACCCAGGTTGAAAAATCTGACATCAGATCGTACAGGATCTTATAAGATCTTGTAGTCTGAAAAAAATCTTACAAGAATCTGACAAAAAATCGTAGTCTCTGATTTCTTACACTAAGTCATATTAACAGATCCTATAAAGATCTTACATGCACTTTGTATTCACCACAAACTTATAGTGCTATTTAAGGGCCATATTAGTTTAAATAGAATGGTGCTGTGATTAGTTCACGACACAACATGTTCTTACAAGTATCTGTTAATACGACTTAGTGTCAGAAATCAGAGACTAAGATTTTCCGTACGATTTTCGTCTGATCGTATCAGATCAAATATGATCAGACGTACGATTCTTGTAAGGTCTTATTATCTGAATGTTCGCCCTTGAAAGTCTAGTTCCAAATATTTGGTGTCAACGTCAGGACTAGACAGTGTCTTATGAGGAAGTATAATGACAGAACTAGATTAGTCTAATAGTTTTGAAATACATGTCTGGACTAGTCTGAGAGATTCTGAGAACCATTGAAGATTACCATGTTTTACTGAAAATGAAATTCTATCTGAATCAGACTAGTCCGAGATTCAGCATAACATCTTAAGCTGATAATTAATTAGTGATATCTTTGATACGCATAAACTCTCGTCTAATTACAGAAAATTAATGTAATGTTGAATTTAAACTAGCTGCTAGTTTATGAAAGCTGTTTTTGACATTCAATTCAATACATCCCAGTAGGAATTCATAACTTGAGAATAGCAAAGTTACAAACTTGCATTATGAAAAACACGGCTGTTTTATTATCTAAGATTATACAATAGTGTAGTTTATTTATTGATTATCAATTATCAAAACTTTTTTATTAATAAGAAAAATTTATTAAATCTGAGATGTTAAAAATCATTAACTTCAATTCGTCTTTGTTTTTAATTGTTTTTATCATATAGTACAGAAAAAGAAAATATTATTGTCATACTTTCGTTACCATAAGATTATTGTTCATTAAATTATAAATTGTAAGAATTTTCGTCAACAATATTATTAATTTAATCAATCATATTTTTAAAAAAGAAAAAGTTTGTTTTTCTGTTTTATTGTATATAGAAGATCTAAGATTGATGATTAAATAGCTAGTTTATCTAATTGATTCTTTAATTTTGTTTTGTCTTGTATTCAGGCAACACCTGATCGAATATTTACACATATATCATTGGTTTCGCAATAGAAACAATGCTCTCGTTAACTCTTTTTCTTCTTCCGAACATATACAAAGAAGATTTCGCAAAGACCTATTTTGTCCATAACTTAGTATAAACAATATGTTTAAAACAAAATCAAAACATGTGAATGATTTTTTGTAAGAACTAGACGTGCATTAATAAATACAAGACTTCGCTTAGTATAACGATTGTATTTGTTCGTTAGAGGATGTAAATTGCTTTTTTTAAAACTTTTCATTCTTTAAGATTTCTAACGAACGTGATGTCTTGTGAAACACAATCTGAAAAGTGTTGAAATATATAAGATAGAAATTTTAAACCCACACCGTCTTCCACTGACCGTGACAGAGAAAATTCATACCCATCACAGATCGCTATAGAGAAGCTAGTTTTGAAGCATTCCATAAACAATAAACTACAAATCTATCGTGAAGAAATGGTACAATGCGAAGTTCATTTAATTAGTATTAATCGATCTATCGCGTTTCACATGTTGAATCTCTCAAGGGATTCAGCTAACAGCTTTTACAATGAAAGGTATCAAATTTTTTCCATCTGAAACATCCAAAATTTATCCTGAAAGAGAAATGTCTATGTGAACCTGGTAATCGTTTTACTGTGTTAGAATTTCCTAACTTAAAAGTTGATAGTTAACAGATAAAAATCATTTTTATTATGAATAAAAATAAATTGTTTCTTTAAAAAAATTCTCAAACTCGATTTTCATAATCTAATTTTCTGAGATAGTGCTTCGTGTAACTAGAAATTAGAACTTTTGATTTGTGTTGATACACATCATCAAATGACCTGTTAGTACATGAATTAATAAGTTTTATGAAATAATATTATGAACTTTTGATCATTACTGTATGAAAGACGTGTCAAGAAGAGCTAGATGTACCATCAATGAAATATCAGCTTATATGGTTCAACTGCTTGCTAAGCTAGGTATGTAACATAAAGTATATATGTTCGAATATAACCTTCACCACTTTGTTTCTATAATTTAGACTAGTCTGGACATCAACATCTGACTGATAAAAGAATCAATTTCGGACGTTATAAATTACTAGCAGTTGTATAATGTGTAGCATGGAGTTAGCAATATGATCATTGTGCACATATATATTTTTCAATTTTTTAAATATATTGGACGGGTGTCATGACGCACCGTCAGGACTAGTCGTTCTCTTAATAAGTGGTCCCACATGACTAGTCGTTTTCGATGACTATTACTGGTCAGGACTGGGTGTTTTTGTAAAAATGACTAGACTGCATTGAAAAACTGACGCCCGTTCGTCGGCTAGTCAGGACGCGGTGTACGGACTCCCAATAATATTAGACTAGTCATGACTAGGCTGTTTTGAGAAAAAAACTAATGACTGACGGGGCATCATGACTGGTCAAACTAACTAGTCTTTTTACCCGTATTTTGCTCTCCTGGGGTGTTACTGTTGGGATCTTCTACGCTTCTTTGGCGACAATAATTTATGAGTGGTTGTTCACACATCGAATACAAACGTTGTATCTGTTCGATACCATGTCCTGTATGTTGTACACAAGATTCACCAGAGCGACTCCATTGTAGCCACTGACGTTGTTCTGTAGAATGTAAATAAAAAGATTATGTTAGCAATCGATTTTAGTCTGTTCTTTTAGTGTAAGACAATGGAATGAGGAATGTACATGTAAGCTGGATGCAATATTATCACTTACTATTATCAAAGGTTTAAAATTGTTTTCGAATAGCAACTTGCTTCTCTTCCATTTTGTGTTGTCGATCTTCTTCGAATTCAGGAGTACAATAGTCACAAGTGTTGCGATGTCGATGATAGTTAGAATATAAACCTGATTTTTCCGAACCAGTGCATGTCCAAATTAACATCGAGCCACAATCAGTACAGTATTTTCGACGATCATTTACAACAGATCGACATTGCAAACAACTTCATTCAACTTGTGGAGAGAACATGATATGTAGGTGTGTTATAGATAAAGAAACAGGAACGAAGAAAGACAAGAAAATGATCGTATCCGAAATAATGATAATGTGACTGGAACACGAGTATAGGGTGGAGTGAATGAAGTAGTATCTTGTATGACATATGCACCGAGAACAAGAAATGTAGGAAAGAAAAAGAAAAAAGAATGTTGTCTTCCTGACAACATGTGCATATGATGGATACACCGTATTCTTGAGCAAGTATGAATGTCTATCATTCGGTGCAAGCTATTTCTAATGAAATGGTGACAAGGAACCTTTTGGCAATTCTCCTTTATTGTGAGATATATGGCTCGAATAATAACAGATCATTAACATTACATATGTACTATAATTAGTAAAAAAATCATCGTTTTCTGATATGTAGCTGAAGATATATGAACTAATAAAAGTCGGGGCTTCATGTCAGTGGGCCACACCCATATTTATTTTATCTCTCGCAATATACATGAGTATTTTTCATTGCTTGCATATTTTTCATATTTGTATGATTATTGTACTTTCGTAGCTTCCTTTTCAACTGGGTTACTCTTTTCTCGCTAATATATACTTCTCGCCTATTTTAATTCCCTTCTCTGTTTGTTTTTAAATATTTCAATTTATCAAGAAAAGTGATGAAAATAGTTCAAGAGTGTTTTCAGTTGACATCTTTCTCCTATGGAAAACCTTGTAGAGCAATATAGAACTGCATTATCTATCTTAAATCATACTAATTCAATTGCTTTTCACGAAATTGTTGATGAAAGGTTTACATATCTTTTGGTAATCACTAAAGCATTCGTTGTGAAGTATTTATGTCTTTCTTTGTTGTAAGATGCAGCGATTGATCTTCACGATCTTCAATGTTTTATCACTCTATGTGCACTATACCTTTTTATCTTCATCTGAAAAATCACTTTTTCAATTCACCGAAGAAGCTCGAGCTGCCCTATGTCCATTTGTTGGAACTGAAGGAATGAGATGTTTTGATGACAGTCCTGCAAAATCTTCTGGCAGAACTTTTGGTTCAGACTATATGAAGTTACCACGTGGTGTTGGCATCAGTGTCGATCGAAGCAGTGGTCGACTCATGGCTCCAGCTGTAGAATTAACATATTCATCTCAAGGCAGTCGTATATGGACTGATGGTCATACGGGTGCAATGTTTGACATGTTTAATGAAGCAATACTTGGACCAGCTAATAGAGTGGTAGCTGCTTACGACATAGCCAGTGTCCAGGTTTTTCGCAATGCTTCACAGTTGAATGCGGCATGGCGACAAACATTTGCTGATGGAAAAGTTCGTGGAGGAGAGTTAGCCCATTCGCCTGACTTGCTTGACTATTTCAATAGGTGAGTGTGTCCTTCCGCTGAAATCAACTTAAAACGATTATATTGCAATCTTTTCTCAGATTTTCACTATGCCATGATGAGTAATGTATTTACTAATCAATGATTGATATCATTTATTTCCCTAATTTTCTGGCAACCAATAATCTCTCCTGTAAATTTATACATGATACAGATCATAAAACACATTTTCAAAGCGAACGACACACCGCATTTAGAGTAGTTGAGAGGCTAGAACGGCAAAATTCTCCTATGAATGAGTTTTCTTTAATTCAAGTATAATTTAAATATCGTGACCAATTACTTGCTCTAGTTCTGCTCCAGTGCCATCGAATAAAATAAAAAGCATATTAGTCTTGGAATACCACAAGTTATACGATAGTTTTTATCAAGTATACTATGATGAAATATCTTTATTTAATCATGTACGAGCACAATTCTTTGGATTTTTTAGGATGTTATTTCAGGAAACGTAATCCTTACCATATTGTCTAGAAAATTACCTTATGGGTAGATTTTGCAACAACTTTTGCCAAAATCTATTGTTCTGCAGTTGTTTTAACTTCCTTTGAAAAACACTGTACATTCAAAAAATGTAATCTTTTCGCAAACGGATGCAAATCAATAATATTTCTTGATCTCGACGGTGGCCGTATATATACTTAGTATATACCACAATATCGAGACTGCTCTCATACCACCCTACAGGTAACTTGAAGAAAACAATTTTGCTAGTTTATCTGTGACAATAACTGTGCCGTATACTTCTTTCAATGTATCATTCCTCTTCAGTTGATGCTTTCATAGAGAAAATCAGAACACTAGATATACCCACATTTTATGACAGCAATAAGAATTTCGATTACTCGATTCAATATTTTCGAACAAAGCCCTCGCTTTGGTAAAGATTACGCGCATATGACATTTGATCTAGCACAGGTCTTAACTGATCCGAGTCGTGTCTTTGTTGAGAGATTCATTTGAAGCCATGCATTATTATGAGACACAATTAACCTTTCGAGCACACTCTTATAACCGTTAGTTCTTAACAAGCCCATCATTATAATCATCTGAAAACAGATAACGAGTTATGTTAAGCCTGATGGTGCCAGTGAAAAGATACATCAACATATAAACTCTTTAAGATGACAAGTTCTCGAAGATCTCGAAATTCTATAATTTATTTAATTACTCGAGACTGTGTAGTAGGAATTGTCAGTTTTTAAAATTTGTAGAAAAAACCCATAATCGATAGAATTCTCACGAAACAAAAGCGACATTGACTCTTTTCCATTGAATTATGCGCAGAAATTTTGATACTTTGTGCAACGTTTCCATGATGAAAGTGTAAAACAATTTAGAACCGTCTTGAACATATGTGAAGATCCTTTATATTCGTATCACGATTCTTGGTTTTGTTCCAATAGCACAAAGTCGAAATGTATACTACAATCTGTCATGAGGGTAAAAAGTGCTTCGCTTAATAAAGGAAAGAAATAAGTAGACCTTACACATTTCAGCTTCATGAGCTGCTGAAAAAGTCCATTCGAAGCTTGGTGTGATGACATCGAAAACTCAACAAACTTGAGCCTATCAACTCAACATGTCTTTAATGGTTGCGTAGAAAGAGGAAGGGATTTTTGTGTACTCAAATACTGAGTACACTCTAGAATTGGTCAGTGTGTCCGTCTGGCCGGCCGTTTACATGATAACTTTCGAATGGAGAGTCCGATCGCGATGAAATTTTCTATACAGTTTAGTCTTAACAATATCTCGGTCGAGTTCGAAGATGAAAAGGATCAGCCGAATTGTTCCTGAGTTATTTCAAAATATCCATTTTTCCCTATGGCTTCCTATGGGAAAATCAACCCATTGCCGCTTTCATAAAAGACTTTTCCTATCATAGTCAAATAAAACCCCAGCTATTACATACAATTTGATAGAAAATTTCAAGAGCTACAAAGTGATACATAAAACATTAAGAAAACAGAAGACTATCTCACCCATTGCAAAGATAAATAGGCAAGAATTGGTTCTGTTTTTGTGCACTCCCTAATTGATCCCCAATTAGAATTCTATCTTCCGATCATAGAGGTGATAATCAAAGGTTTTCTGGAGCGGAGAACTGGAATCTGCACCACAATTGCCTTGAAGCCCCATTGGTTGAGCATTGACGAATAGAAAGAAAGTTATAGGAAAAATGGCTTTCTGAGACTAAGTTAAGCCGAAGAGTTCAAATTTGAGCTGTATATGCTCCCAAGTCCTATCGGTTGAGCAGTAGTCAATGGAATTCAAGGATTTATAGAAAAGGTTTGCCAGGCAAATTTTTATATCGAGATATTCTAGGATGACTGATTCGTCTCATTCACATTTTGAAGTACACATAACTCTCGAATATATATTCGAGATTACCACATTTATTTTCTCATTATTTAGCTCAATGCTGATTAATGGTTCTCTTTCATAAAAGAGAATCTTATAAGAAGAATTTGAACAGAATAGTGATGAAGCATGTTTATTTACGGAGAATCGAATATCTATAAGACTTTTGAACCAAAATAGTGAGTACTGAAATTCAGTTCATATGATCGACAGCGTAACCAATCTATATTTTTACCTTTTATGAAACCGCACTCTTTACCTGTTATACATTTGAACAGAATAAACATATTTTAATTTGTCAATAATCAGAATGTATGTAGCAAACAAACAAAGCTTCGACACAACGTTACTGATTTTTTCACTACCACTGATCGTGCTTGAATAAATCCAAAAAATCTTTTACTATATACTATATATGATACTTAATTTCTATGTAGCTATTTTAAACGTGACGAGGCCCTGGTACTTTCTCAACGTGTAATTGGTCTGTACACACTGTCACTGAATGCTTCAACTATTCAGCTGAATTCATACGCTCTTCATGCACTTGCGCAGCTAACACCAACCTTTGATCAAGACCTTTATGAGGATTTTCTCGAAGCTTGGGGAACTCATATCATTACTAAATCACTAGTGGGTGGTATGATCGAACAGCTAGCAAAAGTAACACGATGTTTTCTATCAAGTTATGATCATATCCTCTCTCAATGTATACCGTTCTCGGATCGTGGGCCGACTAATTATACTTGCGACAATTATTCTGATCAAATACGCGTGATTTCGAAACGCCACCTTGGTGGCAATGTGGGAGTGGCAAGCGAAGTCGAATGGAAAAGAACGCTGGCCGTTGGACCTGCTCTCCTTCAAATTATTGAGATGGTTCCTTGGTATGCTTTTGCCACCGATAATGCAGTGAAACAAAACTTACGCACAATTATTCAATATCGGCAGAGAAACGTTGATATGGTTCAAGCTGAAGCAGTTCGTCTATTGGATTCATATTTATCTCCATGCGTTTCAGGTGCTAAAAAAATTATTAATTCATTGGACAAGCCCTTAAGTAATTGCACGTCCTAGTTTGAGTACATGTTCCGTCCATGTTACAAGTGTCAGTTAAAATTTCTATCAAAAATGAATCGCTCCAGATTGCTTTTGAGCAAATTATAGACTTTTTAGTAGCTCTAATCATTTAGCGTACACTACTAGTTCTATGAAGTCTGTATCATCTTTGGAGATAGAGATCGAAGAAATACCTGTGCACGGCGCTAATCCATTAAGATTTTACGTTTATTATTTTAATCAAAATAACTTCTGCATGACAATTTGTTGACTGATAATAAATATTCAAGTCTGAAGAACTCCCGAAGGCTAACTTTTTCGAAAACATCCACGTATGCTTTTAGATCAGAATTTAAGCGAAGACAACTCAAAATCTTTCCTATCGACCTTAAGAAATAATAAGAATATAAGCTAAATTCATCTTCGTGTTTAAAACTCGTCAAACGAGCTCAAAAAGCAATCTGTATACATCTACCACATGTATAATAATTTTACAATGGTCGTTGCACTTGAAGAGTAAATGTATGAGCTCAGCAGATTTCAAAGTGCTCTCAACAACAAAAATCTTCAGAAAGATGAACGTAATGATTCCAAAACTTTTCGAAAATCAATTTAAATTTACATTTGGATTTTTCTTTGCTATGCATCAGTGAAAGATCTAATTCAAGCTCGATATGGCCATTTTTCAAGTAAATTTCAAGAAAAGTAAGACTCATACTACCATTTACACTCTTCAGCGAAAATTCAAATGTACTGTTTTTTCCTATGATATTTGACCTAGGATGAGCTTTTTATCTGATTCGTTTCCTTTTGCACTATATCGTCGTGAATCACCTGTATGAATATACATTTTATCATATATGAAACGTGGATAGATGCAGCCTTATTTTTGAACATTCCATTTTGCAGCTGTTTAATTATACAGCAGAACCAAAACCAATTCTTGCGTTCTGCTAGTCTTCACTCTAAAGAAAGTGGTAACCAAGAGGGTAAGAAACAATCTGCACTAATGATTGTCTGCATCTTATGACAACTTTAGACTTGCATCTGAGATGATAGGTATATCTGCTCTCTACTACTTCTTGAGTCTAGATATTTCCTCAAACGATATTTTGCCATTTAAACTCATATGATGGGGAATTTGAATTGGTGGCAAAATCAGACTCCTTAAAATCATCTGTATGTGTAACAAAATAAAATGATACCGATTTAATTCTTCGCGAGATAGCCAGGAAGGAGAAGCATATTTTGTCTGATAGAAATTTCTGAAATTCTTGGCAATCTTTAGCATTCTCTGGAAATCTTAAAATCTGCTTTTCTCCCTTAGGTGTAGCGGTATGTTTTCATACATCTACAATGGTATCGTAGTATAGGGGGTATACGGTGGTTTCAGTCTGGTAATTATTTCATATTTTTGTTTCATTTCAGTATCACTACGTGGAAGTTCCGTTGATATTCATCCGAACGCAAGATGGTCACAGAATGGTATTACTGTTGCTGGAGGAAATGGAGAAGGCAGTGGAAATCATCAACTGCAATACCCCCTGGGTTTGTTCTTTGATGATGATCAGCAAATTGTCTATGTTGCTGATCATACAAATCATCGTATCATTGAATGGAAGTGCGATGCAGCGAATGGCCGTGTGGTAGCGGGTGGAAATGGAGCAGGGAGTGGAACACATCAGTTGCATAACCCACATGATGTGATTGTTGATAAAGAGACCAATACTCTCATTATATCTGAGTATTCTAATAAAAGAATAGTCCGATGGCCTCGTCAGAATGGTACACGTGGAGAAATACTTATTTCAAATATCGGTTGCGTCAGTTTGACAATGGACGACACTGGTTTTCTCTATGTCGTTGACTATGATAAACATGAAGTGAGACGATATCGAAGAGGAGAATCTCAAGGCACTATAGTCGCAGGTGGTAATGGGCAAGGAAATCGTCTCGATCAACTCTCCTACCCACACTATGTATTTGTCGATCGAGATCATTCAGTCTACGTGTCTGATAACGGAAATCATCGTGTAATGAAATGGGTGGAAGGTGCAAAACAAGGTATTGTCGTAGCCGGTAATCAAGGACAAGGAAGTAGTCTTTCTCAACTGAATGGGCCTCGAGGACTCGTTGTCGATCAACGGGGAGCAGTCTATGTAGTTGATCAATACAATCATCGAGTCATGCGTTGGCCGAAAGGAGCCTCCCAAGGCAATGTCATTATTGGTGGAAACGGTGCAGGAGCACAATCGAATCAACTCTATTATCCGTTTGGTTTATCATTCGATCGTCAAGGTAATCTCTATGTCGCCGATGATTACAATCATCGAGTACAAAAATTTAACATTGGCTCAAATACCTAAAACACTATGCGAATACTTAATTTTTTTCTTTGCTTTTCAATAGATGTGATTCGATTGCTTTACGATCATAGAAAATCTGATAAGGCTTTTGCATATGAATAACCCACTATTTCCCCATAACGGAAGCCCCCCGTTTAACGTTTTGGAGCTAAAATAGAAGATTAGGTAAAATACAAATATGGACTTGGCTACATTATATTGGATGCGATGTGTCTAAAAAAAATACTTACTCATAACTAAAAAGATTTATCATAGAGATCAAGTGATGAGTAAAGAATGAATTCATTTAGCTTTAGTAGGTTTTTATTCAGGTTCAGGTGTTTCTACATAACAAAATCAAAAAGGTTGTATTTTTCTATACTATTTGATAGATTATCGATTATTCTATTTAATTTTGAGATTTTTATTTGATTTAGTTTTTATTTAGATGAAAAACTCAATGAATTTCAAAAAACACAAATAAAAAAATTGTTTCTCTGTTAAATTTTCAGTTGTTCTCTTAGGATATTCCAAACCATATTAAAAAATAAATCGTTGATTTCATTATAGAAATACAAAAAAATGAATAAAACCCTATAAAAATCAGTGAATCCCTTTACTATAATTCATCTCAAATGATCTCGATGAGTATATAAACATAAAATAAAAAGAAATTGAAATAATACCAAGGGGGAAAAAGCGAGACTCCTAGAGTGCGTACTCCATTTGTACTCCAGCTGTACTCCAACTGTACTCCAGCTGTACTCCAGCTGTACTCCAGCTGTACTCCACCCATACTTCACCTGTACTCCACCCGTACTCCAGCTGTACTCCAGCTGTACTCCACCCGTACTCCACCTGTACTCCACCCGTACTCCACCAGTACTCCAGCTGTACTCCAGCTGTACTCCAGCTGTACTCCATCCACACTCTAGTTCTACTTTCCTGTTACCAACTCTACTGCGATTCTTGTTTGATAATATTCAATTAATAGCTTATATTCAGTGTAGGTAGCACGAAAGATCTGTAGTTAAGAGAATTGAATCTTGTTCTGAGGTCATATTATTGTTTTCAGAACAATTTGGCGATAATAAGTCTAATTTTGACGTGTACTGGGAAATATCACCTTGAGTCCATTAAATAAAAGCTCATTTGGAAAAAAAGTACGGATATTACAAGGTGCTTTTTTGATCTCTTAACTTCGAAGGACAAGCAAATATTTCAATCCTCTTTTGTCGCAAATAGGGGTGGCACTTTAACATTAAATTTTGAATGTTAAAGTGGTCAAAGTTCAAAGTCGCACTTTAAACTTTGAAAATTAAGATTAAAATTTAAAATAATACTGAGCTTTAAAAGTTAAAGTTAAATTAAACATACTTTAAGCCTTTACTTTAAAAAATTCAAAGTAAATGATTTCCTATAAAACAAGTTTTTCTTAAAAATTCATAAAAGTGAATAAACATTTATGAAGGCACCCATAATTGTACGTGCACCGTGTAGCGGGATCATTAATAGGTAATCTACTACATAACGGGCTATCTTTGAGTCATCATCTGTTGTGTAACGTGGGTACTCATGAACCATCAGCTGCTACATAACTAGGATACCTTTGGGTTATCATCTACTATATAACGGGGTACCTTTAGATCGTCATATGCTATATAATGGAAATATCCTTGAATCATCATCTGCTATATAACGCGGGTGCCCTCAAATCGTCAGCTGCTATATAACTAAGGTATCCTGACCTCACCAACTAGTGTATAAAGGAGAGTCCGTGCAACAATGCATGCAATATATTACACCGCTGCCCGTGTGTCAACGTAGGTTATGTATCGGTAGTACTCATCTGCCTTCATGAAGTATATAGCTTGATTAAAAATGTTTCAGGGATTTGATAAAGAAGTATGAATAATGGTGCATTGACAACATGAGGAAGTATGGAGAACTCATCAGTACCTATTAAACGGTTGGAATAATCGGCCCCGCAATGTCATCGCGTAGTAGTTTGTGTCTGTGCTCATGGCGTATGTAGTGTAGCTTCTCATAGTCTTCACTGGATATCTAGAAATAGTGACTTTATGCTGGTAACAGCTTCAAGAAGACATACTACATGGTGCTGCACGATCCATTACTTGATTTTTCCTAGCTCGAATGTAGCTTTAATCAATGTGGAAGCTGGCATTCTTCACCATTATACAAAATTGTTGTTCTCATTGTTGCTTTATACATTATCTTCATGACTAGGCAGGCTAATCTGCAACCATTTAGCTTTGGACCCCTTAATTGTGTTATGACATTTGGTCTTAGTAATTGTTAATAGTTATCTACTATTATTGTGCGATTGGTTATTAAAATAGTATAGTCTGGTAATATTGCTTCTATCCTTAATCTTCTCCATTGATCTAGAAACTTTTCGGAGTCCTTGTAGGATCGAAAGTTGTAAGAATCTTCTCAAGTTTTCGCCAGAATTCTGCCTTAACTCCTGGTAAATCCTGTTACTACTTAGAAATATTTTAGTCAGACGGATTCATAATAGAATTTCTTCAGGTTTCCACTGCGACTTTTTCTAGTTCTTCAAACAGGGTGCTTCCAGGATTGAGTACTGATTCTTTCGAGGATCTATTAGAAGAAAAGAAACGACGATTTTCTGAAGATTTTGTCAATTTTTCGTCAGATACAGGCTGGGATCTTCGTACAAGAATTCATTCTACTTTTTACATAAATCAGCAAGGACAATTAACACAAAAGTCTTTGTTACAGCAAAAACTTTTGGGTATAGGTGTATGGGTCTTTTTTAAAACTACAGCAACAGCCAAACCCACACATATCCTGATAGAATCATGGTTCCAGCCTTGATAGGATGTTGAAATTCTGTGACAAAACTTTTCCTACGACATTCGTGTGTTCGTGCCAAGATACTAGAAGAAATTTAATAGCAATCTTGTCACAATCTTAGGGTATTTTGGGGCAAATTATGTCAGAGTTATCAGATCCCTTAGGTGCAATCTTTTTTTATGACTGAGTGGCTTTCTCATGAAAAAATGTATGAATCTCTAGAGGATCTTTGACTGAGAAGAAAAATATCGAAAGCGAAAAATGTCTTTGAAGAAAAACTTTGGAAAAATTATATACATACAACAGCGATCGTTAAATGTTTTAGGGAATTCTTAATAGCAAAGAACATAGTTAATGGGATGAATCAGTGTTAACATTATGATAGAGAAGATCAAATGTAACTAATCAGCANCAAAAGAGAAGACTTTTCCTATTGACTTGTCACATAACAAGTGAATATTCAATGGAGAATCGCTTCAGAATGTCATTTTCAAAATCTACGCGAAGAACTCACCTGATTGATTAATAATTGACCAATCAAATTTCAACATGTTTTAATGGCCCCGGATGTTCTCTCTTGAATGGGGAAAACTGCAGGTTGCTACAACTTTTCGTTCAAAAGTTATAAGGTTTTTTTCGGTTGCCTTCCTTTAAAATTCCAATAGTAGTTCCATTTTAGAAATCGACTTAATTCTCATCTCATAAAGATTAATATCTAGAACTTTCAAGATAAACAACATTTTGCCCCAATAACTTAATACAGCTTTTTAAACTGCATTATAGAGCAATGAAACAATGACTCTGACTCCTATGAGATTTTTAGAACTATAATTAAGATCCTAGAGATCCAATATAAATTTCGGTAATGCAAATTATTATTATAACTATTCTGTAAATCCCACGAAAATTCCGGCAATTCCATTGAAATCCAGGTAATCCCACGGCAATCCCGGCAATCCTATTGAAATCACGAAAACCTCATGGAAATCCTGGAAATCCCAAGAAATCTCGGAAATCCGAAATCCGCCGTTTCCCCCTGGCAACATTTACTTATATTTTGTGATAAAGAAATAAAGTATGCAGAAAACGAACCTATTCTCGAGAAAATAGAACTGTATTTTATCAGAATTTCTGGATAATAGCTAATTTTCAATGGTGTTAGGGAGTGTTTCCTATCTTTCTTAGTACCTAAGTAGTCTTGATAGTAGAAGTGTCACTGCATTGAAATCATGTTTTATGGCGCACTGTGAGATGTGCTTCCATTCCTTGAAAACAGAGTGTTTGAGAATGGGAATGCTGATATCCCTACTTGAACGAGTACATAGACAATTGAGCCTCCGACATTTGACTTTCGACGGTTCAGCCCGAAAATCATGCTCTAGACCGTTGATCCTCTTCATGTTTGAGTCGACTATAGATATATCTTGCCGACTGAGTGGAGCTTCAGAACTATTACTCTTTAACTGATTGTAGGTGTGGATATGTGGGTGTCGGTAAGCCCTGAAGGTATTGGTAGATGGAAGAAAGCACAACATGCATACACCCGCCCAAACCCACGCTTCACAATTGCATTCGGTATCGATGAAATCAGAGTTTACCTCAGCAAATGGCTTCTTTAATCCTTGAAATCCGAATGTTCTTTGGAAAGCATGAAAAGCTACTAGCGAGTACCAGACTATCGAAAATGCAAATTTTAAAAACTATGAAAATCGAGACATGCGCTAAGAATGACCGAAAATATAGTTAGAACCAGTATCGGTCACAACCAGTCTACTGGCACTAAACAGGATGCTAATGATACGTCAGTTCATCAGAGAAAAGCTAAGTTACCGTGAAAATATTTGTCTACACACAATAGACTGAAGCTCGAAAGAAAGCCTTGTTTCATTGTGAACTCTCTTGCGGCCTACCTTGATGCCTTCACACATTCTGGCATAATGTTTCACTGCTGATATCAATATTGTCCCTGATAAGCATTCTGAAAACTGTTTGGTAAATAAATTTGTGTATGATCAGTAGTACTAGTCTTCGTGCCAGTTCTTTTTTCACGCGAATACTATTATAGAGCAGAAAAGTGAAAAATATAGACCGGTATAAGCAGTGTCTACTAGTCAGACCAGTTTAGACTGATATACTGGCCGGTCTAAAATCTAGGCCGGTAACGAACCAGACCTGTTGGTTAC